ACAAATTCAATCAAGTCCAAAAATATTTTTTCCTTAATTTGTTATATCAAAATATTATAAAACATGGTTCAACAGATCCTTAGTTAGTGTTCAATAAAAAAAATACATTATGCTCAACAGGAACAACAATGAATAATTTTCTTTTTGTGAAAGAGAAAATGAAGGAATGTCATTTGTCATTTCATACATAAATTGTTAGAGTATGCCCAAAGATCAATCATGAGATGATTGTATTGATATACTTTATTTATCGTGTTTATTGAATAAAGGCATTGCCATCATTGTTTTTCAGTTATACTTCTGTGTCTTAAATAAACTGAAAGATAATGAAGTCTATATAATAATACGATTGTTATTAAAAAATCCTTAGTCGAGTATTATTATGGGCATGAACAATAATAATAAGTTCAAGGCTAATATATAGTTGATTGATGACAACGAGTTGTCATTGACATAAAGATGTCAAAATCAATACATGAGTATGTTGTTAGAGAACAACATATTGGATTGGCCCGCTATCAGCATATGTATCGGATTATTTTGTGACGGTCACAACATTGCTCATGGTGTTGACTACATGTATGATCCTTAGACTTTAGATCATTACTATGTCAACATATATAGTCATGTTTTGATACAGTTAAACATGCTCCGTAACTGATCGCATTATAAAGACTGATGTTGAACATATCAAAATATATGTAGTGGGATGTGAATGATCAAGATATGATTTGTACTTCTTACATAATAGGAATTATATCATAGGTCACTTGATTGAGTGAGACTAAAAATGGATGGCCATGCTCGAACATGTTGATATGAGATATCATAAGTTGTTCGTTTATTATAGTCTACTCTAGATATCAAGAAACATTAGATAGGCTATACAAGTGTGACTATTCCAAAACTTGTGCCTATTCTAGATATAAAGGACAAAATGATATAATACATATAGGAGTTAGTCACGAAGAGGTTATGATGAATCATGACTTCTTGTAACTTAAATGACAATGATATATTACTAGATGTCACTCATTATTTGTAATGTTAGAATGACTCTAATATTACTACTAATGTTACAGGAACCTACAGGGTCACATCTTAGGATTGAAATGAGCAAATAATAATTTAGTTATACATGTACAATTTGATTGTACATAAATAAAATGCATAATTAACATTAATATATATTTGATATATATGTGTAATATTAAAAGAATATAATTAGTGTAATTATATTTTTTTTAAAAAAATTCAAAATTAAACCCTAAAGGTTAGGGTAGCAACATTATAAAAAGAAAAGAATGGCCCAGTAGCCATTCTTGTTTACTTGCAAAAAGATTCGCACACAAACGAACATCATGAATATCTTTTGGTTTTGCGTCTAAGAAGACAAAGATATGACTTAGGTTGGGTAATCTTAAGATTATGAGTGAAGATCAAGGGATCTCATAATTTCGGGTGAAAGATTAAAATCTTGTTTTGAGTGCGAATGGAATACGAAAGATTTAAACATGTCATAAATCAAAGGTATATGATTCTCGAAAGAACATTTAGTTCATTTCATTTTCAAAGAATTTCCAAATTAAAATTTTGCTTTATTTTCTTATAGCCTTGAAATTAATAAGGGTTCATTTTTAGATTATTAACCGGTTCACGAGTTAAAGAAACATATTATTGAATTGCTCAAATCCATCGTTGAATGTGCTCAAGACCCATCGGCTCGCCGTTGAGATTTTTTGACGAAATTTCCAGTCGCCAGCAACCGACAGGTAAGGTTTCAATTTCCTTTCTTTGCTTTCTTTCAGTTTTCGTTCTCTCTAACTTCTTTCTCATTTTTGTAGGTGGCTACACGTTCGTTCCTGTTCGGCCTCCTTTGAGATTTAAATAGGAATTGAGGTTCGTTCGCAGAGAATAGATGAGGGCGAGGCTGTTGGCGATAAGGTGGAAGAGATGGATAAGGGATAAGGGATATCGATCTTCCAGGGATGAGAAAGATGGCGACTTCTTGTATTTTGGTGGGAGAAAGAATCTATTGTGGTCGATGACAGCCGAGAGTTATGATGGTTAGAGTTTTGGGTTTAGGGTTTAAATAAATTGGGTTAATTAAGTTATTTGGGCTGATCTAAGTTTGGGGTAGCATGGTAAATGGGTCATTGGTCCAAGTTTAATTTTGGGTTGACTCTTAAATTGGGCTAACCCAGACAAAATGAATGCTTACAAACCTAATACGGAGTAGTTCATGTGAAAAAGTAATTTATTTACATGGTTGAGGTAGAATCTGACCAACTTCAGACCTTCAAATATTTTGTTCACTTTCATTAAAGGAAGCTAATCCCTAGAAGAAGCCTTTGTTTACTCTGCAGACTAGGAAAATTAACCCCATAAAATAAATCCATACTTTCATAAATATATTAATGATTTTGTATGCTATTCAAATTGTGTCTTTAGGATGATATATCATGTCCAATCCAGTACAACCAAATACATGTATTTTATGTGATGGTAAACATGTCTCAAAGTCTTATCCACTGTTTACAAGCTGTACTTTACCCATCAATTGCTTTGAAAAATATGCATATCCCAGGCACTGGATTCTCTTTTTAAAATAAAAAGCTGGAAATCACACGATTTCCATTCTAAAAACATTACAAACATAATCCAACAAACTTTTGAAACATGTTATTGATTTAAAAAGAATATGTCTGAATGGTACTTAAATTTCTAAATATAACCTGTTAATATCAAGTTAAAAAAGATAGGAATCGATTATAACAAAAAATCTCATCAAGAGTGTAACTTTTTAAAAAAAACTTTTTAAATTAAACAGATTACAACCGAAAATGGTACATTCTAATCCACTGCTCGTTTTATTATCAAACAAAACATTAGGATTGTGATAAATAAATAAATAAATAAATAAAATAATAATGGTAATAGTAATGGTTAACAGCACCTATGGGTCAGGGTACGTGGGGGATATGCAGCGTTTAAAGGAGCATAAAAGAGGTACTTGGGGGGGATTATTCTCAGCCATGTAAAAGATTTTACTTCTGCAGGTTACGACACAAATCTGTCGGACCACTTTCGATTTCAAACTTTGAGTATTTATTTTGAATCAGAAAATTAAATTTGAGTATTTATTAAATGTGTGTGTTTTTTTTTTAGGTAGGGTGAAGACGTGAGGCGCTTTCGAAAATGCTCCTTATACACTTTTATCCACACAGCGTTATTATTGTGAAAAGGTTGAATCAAAATCGAAGAAAGAAAAAAATAGATCAAAATGTGAAAATGTTATACAAATTTTATTCAAAAGAAGCGTTCATAACATATTTATTTGCAGGAACACAAGTTAAACTAAACAATAATGATAACGCGCATGTATAAATATTGTTTTGAATCACTCAATAAGTGGATTTTTAAAAGTGTATATTTAAACACTGAAGAGAATAATATGAATAATGTGAAATTTAAAAATCTCATGGCCAAAGTTGTTGTTTTAAATTATCAAAGGCAATCATGAACTTCATCAATTCCAAATCACGCACTTGATCAATTGTTGACTTCTGAAATATTTAGGGTTTCAATATCTAAAACTGTCTTCGATTATCATATTAAAATAAGTTTGATCAAATTTATAATTTTACCTGACACCTTTTGAAATATTCAGAATTCCAATATCTAAAACAATCTTTGATTATCATATTAATATGAATATGATCAAATTTATAATTTTACCTTTGATGATTTAAAATCATCATAATTATTAATGAGATTCTCATAATTTTACATTGTTTACATATAATTTTTATTTAAATATATACTTCTAACTATATATTTATTGATTGATTAAAAATAAATTTTATATTAATCTGGTTCGACTCCTCCTGTATCATATACTTTTTATTTTACAAAATTTCTATAATTTGTCTTTTTTTTTTTCTTTCATCTCAATCCAACCTTCATAAGTTCCTATCGTTTTATAGTCATGTAAGTAAAAAATTATTCCAATCAAAAACAACTTTTTTTCTGTTAAAAAAAACATCTATCGTGAATTCGTGATAGACATTTAAAAAATATCAATTCAAAAATTAATCTATAGTAAATATTGATTTAATGGGAAATTATATAATGGGACACCTTTTATATACAACTAAAAAAAACATTATCGGTTTTGTTATTATTTAAATAACAAAACGGTAAAAATTTACCTAAAACATCAATATTTTTTAACATTTTTTTGTAAAGTACCCAACAATAACAAAATCGGTAAAAAAATAAAAAAAATCAATAGCGTTTTATAGGTTTTGTTAACAAAATTGGTAAAACGCCCTATAATAACAAAACCGATAAAAATAATAATATTTTCTTTAATTTTTTAATTTTTTACGTGATCATTTCCCTGATTTAATAATTAATATTATTAAGTGAAATTTAAGCAAGGCCTGTTTTCTAGTGTACTTTTTTTTTACTGAAAATATCTAACACCAATCATTTACTTAGAGTCTGAGAACCTGCACCGACCATTAAATAGAGGCAAAGAATTTGATGACTAAACACTATAGGAACTTGTGATGAATTATAGACTGTTAACAGAGCAAATTCGAAGGCAAGTTTCGCCATTGATCAGTCATCCCCCTTACAAGTTAATGGTACAAGATTCTCTTGCTAAATTTGAATGACATAAGCCTCCAATAATTCAAACAAACAAAAACCCCAAATCTTTTCATTTGAATATTATTACAATTCTTAAACTTCAATTCCAACATCAAAAGCAGACGAGCACCATAACACACCACACAAGCAGCAAACATGAAATACAGCATGAACTGTTTATACCAAAGAAAACTGAAAGCTACACTAGTTATTTCATAAAAATATGTTATCTTTGTACTCCCGTTAAGCCCTCTCCATTGTTTCGCTTAGAGCAGGGATTACTAATGCAAAAAGACCAAACGTGAACCTACAAGGCTAAAAACACTAACTTTAACTCTAAAAAAGGAGTAAGGTTAAGCTCAGATTGCTTTCTCAACATGGCGCAGCTTGAAAACTGTTTCCAAATCAGGAGGCGTAAAGAACTCCCTAACCCCATTATAATGGTGTCTTAAAGTAGGCCGGCGTTTCCTTGGCGGCGGAGGGCAAGGTAGTTTGTCTGGTATTCTTGCTTCCCTTGAAGTTGGAGTCGTTGAACGAGCTTCTTCTTCTTCTTCATCATCTTCTTCTTCTTCTTCTCTTTGTTTTGCTCTTGGTTTTGTGTTTATTAGCTTCAATGATGTCTTAATAGCAATACCCGTTAATACCCATTTCTTCCCTGGGGAATCTAGCACTCCATCTACTTGTGATTTTTTAGAAAACCCCATTTTTAATCGGAAGAGAAAAGGGGATTTTGGAGATGAAGAAAAGGAACCCAAGGTGAGAAAATGGCTGAAAACAGAGGCAAAGCAAATTGCTTTTTAATCAAAGAGCAAAAGAATGAGTTTTTTATCAACGAAATGGAAACAATGTAAAACGCAGAGATAAAAGAGAGATCTTTGAATGGGGCGGGGAAAAAAAGAGTAAAATATTTAAGCATTGGTTGAGAGAGAGACGGGCGGCTGGCTGCCCGGATATTTACGGGCAGCTGAAACCGTCTGAAGAGAGTTTTTTTTAGGGTTGGCGCCAAAATTGGGCAAAAAGTCTAGTGAACAACGGCTTTTATTCCCGCCAAGATTTGCGAATTTCCCACTTTGCCCTTTGTTTGGACATTATTGGTTTCTTAGAAGTAATCTGTTAGGGACTTAGGTTCCCCTTTTCATTGTTTTGTCAATTAATTTTTAGGAAAAATTATATGTTTAGTACTTAACTATTATTTTTAAGATAAATTATATTTAGTATTTAAACTATCAGTTTTAGTCTGTTTTAATACTTAAATTTTTAATTTTTTTAAAATCATACCTAACTTTTAGTTTTTGTTTTATTTTAGTACCCGCCGTTAAAAACTTAACACATTTAATATCTAAACTATTAAATTTGGTTCGCTTTCGTACCTAAACTTTCAAAAAAAATTCAAAACTTAACGTTACGTTTTTAACGAGGTACTAAAATGAAACAAAAACTAAATTTAGGTATGGTTTTAAAAATTGAAAGTTTAGGTACTAAAAATGATAATTTTGGTACTAAATGCACAATTTACCCTTATTTTTATTCTATTTTGGTACTTAAACTTTATTTTATTTTAAAATCATACCTAATGTTTAGTTTAAGTTTCATTTCGGTATCTCGTCATTAAAAACTTAACGGTGATATTGACGTGCCACCATAAGATAATACCACATCATAATTGAAAAAAATAAAAAAATGTCTCGTCAACAATTCTATTAATCTTTTAAACGTGGGGTATCAAATTGAAATCTAAACTAAATGTTAGGTATGCTTTTGAAAAAAATAAAAGCTGGATACCAAAATGAAATAAAAATAATAGTTTAGGTACTGAGTGTGTAGTTTATCCTAATTTTTAATATATCAGTCCTCATTCTAATTATGTATAAGATTTATTTATGAAGTTTGTAAATTATATTTATGAATATGATAAAATATGATTAATTTATTAATATAATTACAAGGTTTTCAGATAAATTAAATAATTCAACATTTTCAACTTACTCAAATATTTGACATCCATAAATCATAATCCATTTGAATAAAACATAAAATTCAATAATTGGATTATTAAATTATCATTTACAGAAAATTATATAAAATTATAAAAGCGTCTGTTAATTTTTCTATAATTTATATTTCATAATACAATGATTGAATCTATACAAAAATCTAAATTTATCCTTAAACCATGACATTACGATCTAAAATTTTATTTGAATAGTATGTGTCGATTATAAGATAATGTTTGTTAAGAATTTTTCAATCTATTTATAATATACACACCCCACAAACACAACTACTTAAATTCAAAATTTTTAAAGAAATTAATATTACATTATCACTTATAGATTTTACAATATGAAATTTTGAATCATCCTACTCAAATTCAAAATTTTTAAAGAAATTAATATTACATTATCACTTATAGATTTTACAATATGAAATTTTGAATCATCCTACTCAAATTTGGCAATAATCACCGTACACTAAAGAGGATATTTAGTGTAAATAAATGGTTTGTACTTCTTCTTTTTATTAATTTGAGTTAAATACAAAGTAATGTATGTTTAAAGATTTATAATCATTATCTCTACATACGAGATGAACTCGATACCTCAAGAAGTAATAATTATTCTTTAACTACTTAAGTCGTTTGGTTCGTGCAATAGTTTGTATTTTATATGTATAAGGTAGAAAGTTTATACATATTTATTGTCGTAACCGATTTTCGTCCGGGCACGAATTTTTTTTTACTTGGTGGGAAAAGTGATGTGAATAAATGATTTTTAAAATAATTTGGGAGTCGCCATCGGCCTTTTGGGTTAGGTAGGTCGAATACCTAAAAATCATCTTTTAAAAGAGTTTTTAAGAAAACATCGATTAAAAGATAAACTGATCTGCGTTTTAACCAAAAATTCATTCTTTTTAATAATAAAAAGGGATTCGTGGTCGGTTACGTTTAGGGAAGGATTAACACCCATACAACGCCCAAAATTGGTACTTTTTAATTATAAATTGTCTCTTATTATTAGAAATTAAAATTCAAAATATTTAATTTATAATCCTATTATTTTAAGATTATAATTATGAAAAATATATATTAATTTATATATATTTATAAATAAAATATTTATTTATTTAGAAATATCAGAAAAGGACTTCTAGGTGCCTTAAGACAGCTCTTTTCTTTGATATTAAAAAATAAATAAATAATTAAAACAGTTAATATATAATTTATAAATAAGATATTTAAAATATCAGAAAATGGACATTCAGTTATTTTAAGACTGTCATTTCCTAATATTGAAAAATAAATAAATATTAAAATAGGATTAAAAAATAATTAACTAAGATTTTAATAAATAAAGTACATATTATTTATTATATAAATATATATATTAATGGTTAAATAATAATAATAATAATAGTAATAATAAAAAGTAAACATATAAAATTAACATATAACTAAACAATAAACAAAATTAAAACTATATATTTAAAATAAAAAAATTGAATTTAGTGACTAAATTGTAACTTAATAGAATTAAATACCTAATTTATAATTAATTATTTAAAATTTGAGTGACTAAATATGCTATTCTCCTTATTTATTAATTTAGTGACTAAACTAAAATTATATAAAATTCGAATATCAGATTAAAATAAATTAAAAATATGTACTCGGGATTAAAATATTAATTATTAAAACTAAAGGACTAAATACGTATTTTATCTAAAATATTTATAATTACGGTTAAGGGCTAAAATATAAATAAATAAAATCTAGAGACCAAATTAAAAGGATCATAAATTTGATTCAGTGACTAAAATGTAAAATATATAAAATAGAGGGACTACGGACAGGGTTTAATATTTAAAAATTACACAAATAGCCCTCCCCAAAACGGCGTCGTTCGGGGAGGGCTATTTAAGCCCGAAACGGCTGGCCCGAAGGGCCAGCTCTCTCATTTCTCTGTTTCACACTCTCTCTCTAAACTGAGAGAGTTTAAAACTCTCTCGCCACTCTCTAGCTTCCCTCATCGGAGGGAAGCCGGTCACCGGCCGGTAGTCGTTCGCCGGTGTTAACCCCGTCGCCGGCCACCGCATCCGGTGACCGGAAATTTTTTTTTACACCTAAATATAGATCGGACCATCCTATTGATGGTTCCGATGACCGTTTCCCTTAAAACACTCCCGATTAGAGCAAATCTACGAAAATACCTTCGGTTTTCGAAGGTTTCCGATGATGTGTGAATGTTCCGATGATGTTGCAGCTTCCTCAGTAAGTATCTCTCCGTCTTTTCCTTGCTTATTTTGGTGTTTGTGGTTGCTGGTTTGCTCGCTTTTTTTTCTTGTTTTTTTTTTGCTGTTGGTTTTTTTCTCTTGTTTGCAGGTGGTCGATGGCTTTATAGTTATCACCGGTGTGGCTCTCGGACCGGGTAAAAGAGTGGAGTTTTGTGAGTCACCAGACTTCTAGTGGTGACTCACCGTTGGGGCGACATGTGTGCGGCTGGAGTGGCTCTTCTGGAAGCTTTCGACGAGACATGGCAGCGGTAGAGATGGTGGGAGTAGCTGCGGCGGCCGCGTGGCCCTAGGTATCATCACCCTAGGGTTTGTGCTGGATGCGTGTGGGCCATTGGATCTCTCAGATCTAACGGTTGTGATGCTGAGGCGGCTAGGGTTAGAGATCAAACCCTAATCAGTTTAGGGTTTCCATTGGGCTAGCTTAGTTGGGCCAGAATTGGGCTCCGGGATCTATTTGTAATTGGGCCTGTAATATAATAAAATTAATAATAAATAATAATAATAATAATAATAATAATAATAATAATAATATAAATAATATTTAAATGAAAAAAATGAGTATCTTCAGCTGCCCCTCTTTGCTTATTCTTGTGTTAACAAGAATAGAGCAAAGACGAAAAGATAATAAGTTTTTTTTTTCATTTGACTTCACTTAATTAATATGGAGATGTTGAATAAATTCTTTTTCTTTCTTTAGATGAGTTCTTCTCATTATGAACTTTCCGCTGGGGATGATAATATCTCCTTCTGTGATGTAATTTGGAAAAGGGTTGAACAAGTTCTTCTTATTATAAAATTTTCTTCCTTATTCAGATGAGTTCTTCTTATTATGAACTTTCCCTGGAAAAGTTGATGTTGACCTATTTCCTTCTGTGATAGAGTCATTCAAAAGGTTGAATAAGCTCTTCTCATTATGAACTTCTTCTTTATTCTTCAGATGAGTTCTTCTCATTATGAACTTTCTCTGGAAAGGTTGATGCTAATCTATCTCCTTCTGTGATAGAATTATGCAAAAGGTTGAACAAGCTCTTCTCATTTTGAACTTCTTCTTCTTCAGATGAGTTCTTCTCATTATGAACTTTCTCTGGAAAAACTGATCCATCAAGTGATGGATTTGAGCAAAAGGTTGAACAAATTCTTCTCATTATGAATTTCTTCTTCTTCAGATGACAAGTTCTTCTCATTATAAACTCTACCTGGCAATGTTGATCCATCAAATGATGAATTCAAATAAAAGGTTGAACAAATTCTTCTCATTATGAACTTCTTTTTCCTTCTTCAGATGAGTTCTTCTCATTATGAACTTTCTCTGGAAAAGCTAATCCATCAAGTGATGGATTTGAGTAAAAGGTTGAACAAATTCTTCTCATTATGAACTTCTTCTTTATTCTTCAGATGACGAGTTCTTCTCATTATGAACTCTACCTGGCAATGTTGATCCATCAAATGATGAATTCAAACAAAAGGTTGAACAAATTCTTCTCATTATGAACTTCTTCTTCCTTCTTCAGATGAGTTCTTCTCATTATGAAC